GGCTTCCATCTTACACAGATGCTAAGACATCTTCACAGACTAACTAGAGGAATCACATAATAATGAGAAATTTGTCATTGCCAAGAGAAGAGGTGGCTAGCTGCCCCTCCCCTGCCCCACACCTTCTCTTTGTAGATGGTGAGCACATTTTCTCTGCCTTACTGGTTAACCCATTGTGAAGGATTTGGGTATTGGCTCCTTTAAATAATGTTTTGTACTGTAAGTGTCAATAAAATGGATTTTTGTTGATATTACCTGGTTGCTTTTGTATGGGATTTTCCATGTTAGACAAAGGCTTTGTAGATTTAAGATATTTAGTTATTGGACAGAGAAAAGCCACCAAAAGTAAAGCTTTTTGCTTTATTGAAAAAAAAAGAACAACTTTTATTATTGAGAACTTCTAAATATTAAAAAGTAAGGTGTTTATCTTTAAATATTCTGAGTGGCTAGTTGATTGACTATTCCAGTTTCTGGAATGACCAGAGGCTAACTCACTGCTCTTATTTGTCACTTGGGGTTTTAGTCAGAGTTCATAGGATATGTTACGTGGTGTAATTACCAACTATTATATGCAGTACAGCTTAAAAGTGTGTTTTTTTTTTCCTTAACATTTCCTCTGTAAACAATTCAGTGTGAAAATAGATTATAGCTGAACTGTCTATATTTCATTTCAGTGGCTGCACAAAAGAATGACTATTAGTTCTAAGGAGAACGGAAGCAAGTGCTTATTTAGTTTTCCAGAAATGAGGATTATTTGATGTACTTGAAGAACTAGATTAGAAATGTGGACTCAAACATACTGATTTCACATTTGTAAATTAAAACAATTTTTTTAATGGAATGGAAAAACACCAGCTTATTTTAGAAGCATTATAAGCTTGCCTAAATGCCGTATTCAGCGCTCTGAGGTGGAACTTGGATCCTGTTAGGCAGGCTTTTTGTGGGCGGGAATAATGCACATTCCACCTGTCGGTGTACCTGTAGGTAAAGACAGTACACCACACCCTCTATTCTGAACCTTTTCCTCAGGGGAAACTGACTAGAATCCTTTGGCTCAGCATGAGAGACTGAATAGCTCAGTTCAGAAGAGCTTTTCCTTTTGAATTGAGTGAGGCAGCAAGAACGAGGGAAATAATGTTGCAACTGCATTTCTCAAGATTGCTATGCTACTATGGAGATTTAAAACTTGACTTTTCCTGCCGGGTTCTGCCTGGAAGGCTTAGTTATTAACACAGACATATATTTGATGTTGAAAGTTGTTTTATTGCCAAGCTAATTAGATATTTATGTTTTCGTTCTTCTGTTTTCTCAAGGATTTAATTATTCTAGTTGAAAAGGGGTTATTTTTGTTTGTTTAATTGTTTTTGGTTTTGTTTTTGTTTTTTAGTTTTGTTTTTGTATGAAGACTGATGGAGTGTTTTTAAATTTGTAGGGATATTTTTCTGGACTTTTCCCTCCCTTTTATTGTTCAGTTGTATGGATTAATTTCATAATATTTATTTGATAGTGCCAAAAAGAATTTTCATACTGGTATGAAAATTTTATCTGGATAAACTGAAAAGAACTTTTTAAATGTAGTGAACAACTGATAAAGCACATGAGGAAGATTGGCATCTGCATCTTCTAGAATGGATTCTTACAGTACTCATTTGGCAACTGTCAGACTCAGTGGCTCTTGGTTGGAAGAACAAGATGAAGACATTTATGAGGTTGAATCTCGCATCCCTTTACCAAATCCTTTTCCTCTCTGTGAACATTTGGATGAAAATAATTCAGTAATTGTTAATACTTCTATTTTTCATTTTATTCATAAAAGAAATGGGCACATATTAAAGCTTATTTCTAGAATTTCACTGCCTACTCCTCCTTATTCAGTAAGTATGAAAAAAATATTGATTTAGTTAAAAATCTGTGTATAACGAGAAGTGAAATTTTAACTGTCTTTAGGAAGGTTAAATGCAATAGCGGCTTGTTTGTTGTTGTTTGGCGTGTTGCTCTGCGTTCATCATGGATATATTGACGGACTACATTTGGTCTGGCAGCGTTTCATTTTGTTGTATGTAGGGTCACTATGAGTCAGAACCGACTTGTCAGCACTTAACAACAACAAATTTGGTCTAAGAGCCCCAGCTTGGCAGAATGAGATAATATTACAGTTCTTCAGTAGCAGGAAAGCTGTTTAAAAAGATCCTGCTTGCTTTTGCATTTTTATTATGCCCATCTTAAGTAAAAATGGAATGATTATATTTGAGAGAATAGGCATTGTGGTGCCTAAAACAGCGAAGTGACTTGTCAGTGAGCCAGTTAGGAAGTGTTTACAATTGATGACATATTGACTGTAGCACCAGACAAAAAAAAGATTGTTTTTAATCTGCCTACTAATCCTATGAGGAAGTACTCTTTTGAGCTTTTTTTGTGAAATGCATTTTATAAACATTGTTAAGAGTAAGCATTTAGCACAGAGGCTGCATATTTAGTATTTCAGGTTCAGCACTTAAAACATATGTTGTGAATGATTCACTACAAGTTACTCAGCACTTCTTAGGACTTTTCCTGGCTTTAACTATAATATACTAGTTAATATTTAGCAAGCCAGATGGTTTTCAGAAGTTAGTTTTATTGCCTCTCCTGCCAACTTTTATATTAAAGCAACAGAATATTTACTTAAGTTTACACACACTTAAAAAAAAAAATTTATTGTAGTAAAATATATTTAACTCAAAAATTCCCATTTTAACCATTTTTGAAAGTACAATTTAGTGACAGTTACTTCACTGTGTTGTTCAGCCATCGCTACTGTCTCTTTCCAGAAGTTTTTCATCATCTCAAACAGAAAGTCAGTATTTATACATACTTTTAATGTAATAGTAATAAATAGTTCCTTAAATATTTTTAAAATACCAAATCTAAAATTTTATATGCTTCAAAATAGTATACATATTGGGGATAAATCATACCGTAACTGAATGAGATTTTTTTAAGCATAAACTATTTGGATGAGCATTTGAAGGGGTCTCATATACCAATAAAATGTGGATCCCATCTGTTATAAATGAAATTAGTTTGCTAGATTTACCATGTTTGGTTGTTAAAACTTATTTATTTATTTATTTTTATAAACATGAAGTTATTACTGAATGGTTTTATGGTAAATATCATTTTAGTGCACTTTAAGGCTAGTTTAGAGCTTACCAAGAAGTAGTATATAGAAGAAAAGACTTACTTAATTTTCTTATCTAAAGCGCATATTTATTTTATTGGTTTGTATAGTAAATTTGAAAAAGAAAGAAAATTCATATCCTTTTTTGAGCGTAGTTTTGCACTCTTCTAGAAGTTTCATGTATTTATCAGGCAACAATTATATAATTTACAGAAAAAAATTACATATGTATATGTAGAAACAATTGATATATTTTTAAAATGTGGGTTATAGCTGTAAAAGCAGGGAAGTAGTGCTGTAGAAATTAGTTCATTACTTTATGGTCATGTTTCTTTATAATAAAAACTAATGCACATTAGTTATCCACATTTAAAGGAAAAATACTCTGCCAATCAAAGGTAAAAATATAAAATTTTATCCTTTTTGAGGTATCAACACGTTACAGATATTTTAGGAAATATTTTATGATTTAAAATTCACACTTAATTTTTTATTATGAATCTTAAATGTGCATTCATACTGTTTTCAATTAATAAAATGTGAATGATATTTAAAACATTAAAACAAGAATAATTGCATACTGAATATTTTGGAAATTGATTTAGAGTAACCATAAAGAATTTTAATAACTCTAAAATCCATTTGCTATGGTTAATACCATTCAGATGGGAAGAGCAGAGGTCTTTTGTTTAACAATAAGCTATTCTTAAATGTCATAATTTTATAATACATTACCGCTGTCTGACTATAAATTAGAAACCACTCTACATGTGATTCATATTTTAAGTTTCAAATACGATAATCTTTCTAATACACAAAACTTTATATATAAATTTTAAAATTCAGCATTACTATGAGCCTTTTGTTAATGTATATGGTCATTGCTTTTTAAAATTTGTTGAATAGTGTTAATGATTTAAGACTAAGTACTAGAAACATTTGAGCTCAAATTTTTCCCAAGTAGTAGTTTCAATAAAAACAGATAAGCAGGTACTGGCAGTCAGGAGCCCAGAAAACTAAGTTGGAATCAGTGCTTTTCTGCAGTTTCATAGAGCATATTCAGTAACAGTGATCTGGTTATCTTCTAATTGAGAGTTTTAGCCCCAAGTACGTACTTTGTCACCTTAGAACTTATTTAAGAATGAGGTAAGTATGTGTGCCAATAACAGTTTTTTAAGGAAACCGTGCTTGTGGTTAATGCCTTGTATTCTCAGATTTTGAAAAATAAACTGAATGTTCATATGGAGTCTTGTAGATGTTTCACAAATGGATAGAAATGTAATGCTTTTAGTTAAAACACATGGGTTATAAATGTAATTTCTTTTTATTTTGCTACTATGATTTTGTATCATTGATGCCATTGTATTAATCATATATTATTAGTCCCCCACAGTGTTGATACAGCAGCACACCATAGGAATCACGATCAATAGAATATTAAATACAAAGGAAACATAATTATCATAGAGCACACAGTTACATAAAATGCTTTAGCAAATACAAAAAAAGATCCTGTGCCTCATTAACTGTGTATCTTCCTTTATTTGATAGAATGCGGATCTAGTGATTTAAAGCAGTTTATTTCCAAAAGAAGCCTATTCTTTTGTTCAGTAAAACCAGAATGCACCTCTTATGGAACGTTGTACACAGCTAATCTACTTTTTTCTATAATTTATTCTATTACTAATGTTAGCATGCACTAGAAATATTTAAATGGCTGCAATTCAAGAATCTTTATTTTTTTTTTTAAATCCTTTTTATTTAGCTTTAATGGAGAATGACACTGGATTCCCAATGATTTAATTGTCTTCCTTCATGTGTACTTCCTCTCCTTGTTTAGCTCGAACATGCAAAAGTTACACAGACAGAGTTGATGCGTGAGTCGTTTAGACAGAAACAAGAAGTGACAGAGTCCCTCAGGTGCCAAGAAGAATTGCGAGAGCGCCTTCACGAGGAGTCTAGGGCCAGGGAACAGCTGGCTGTGGAGCTCAGTAAGGCTGAGGGTAAGCACCTTGCTGTTGGCAACTGAGACTGGAAAAATTTCAAATCTGAAAATAGAGATTTTGATACACAGCCAGGTTTGGAAACCACCGATCTAATTTAAAGTAACCACTGAAGAGTAGTTGTAGTTTATCTTCAGAGTTCCTCCAAGTAATTTCTAAAACTATATATTTTTTAAATTATAAAAAAAATTAATAGAATTACATAAAATAGTAAAAATTTTAGAAAATATAGAAATGAATAATGATGAGTTTTTATCATAATCCCATCATCCTGAAACAACTCTTATGATTTAAAGATATGGAAACTGAAGCTAAGAGATGTTAATAAATAAATTGTTCAAGCTAACCATTAAGTTGTGAAGCCAGGATTTAAACCTCTAAAGCCCCATGCACTTTTTATTTTACCATGCTGTTGTGGGGTATTGTTCTTCTAGAATTACTTAAAATATCAGCCTTCTCTAGTATATTTAAAATGTGATTCAGTTCACAAGCATCTGATATATATTCAGCTTTCCAGGAACCTATCTATTTATATCTATTTAATATAAAATGAGTTACACTTACATGATAATGATACTTTAGCATAGCAAAGTAATACAGAGTTCAGAGAAATTTCATACTTGGTCACAATGGTTAACAAGAAAAAGGCTGCATGGAACGTACCATATTAAAAGTTAGTAGTTACTTGTTAGTGGCCTTGTAAGGTACAGTAGATAGTCTTCATCCAACTGGAGCAACAACAGAAAAGAAGCTAAGGAACCAACGGAAATGTGTTTCACAAAAAGGTACCTCATAAAGCAGTACCTATGAGACCCGAAGAAACCTAAATGATGCCCGGCCAACACTTAGTTGATCAAAGATTTTAATTGAATCGTGATCAAGAGGGGAGAGATGTCATAGAGAAAAATTAATAACAGACATCTTACTTTGATTTTAAGGGTTTTTTTCTTACCCACAAAACCACATATTAACCAGAAAAATTCCTGACCCAAAATTAATCCTGCTAGTGGCTTTTTTCACCCAAAGTTGCTAATCCTTACTTTCCTTTTGGGAGCCAAGCTTACTTAATTTAAATTTCAAAAGGTATTATGGCTGCAGATGGGTGGAGGGCCAAAGATCACCTTGTGACCTGTTATCAGTTGATCACAGTAAAAGGGGAGGGCAGGGTTCAATCAATCATGTTAAGATTAGTAAATGGTTGATCTTTTATTCTTCTCCCTCCTCTTCTCTATATAAGCTTCATTATAACCAACTTACTCCAAGCATTTGCCTTTTTTTTTTTTTTTTTTGGAATCTGAATGGTCTCCATATAAGCATATAGAATAACTGCTCAAAATAAACCTTATGTTTCAATAAAAAGAAAGTTAGTAGTTACTGCTATCATCAGCAGTAAATTTATTCAAGAATTGTAATAGGTTGAAATGATTTAAAGTTTTGCTAAGAGTACACCTGTTATTGATTATATTAAAATCTAATGGTAAAATGTGACATGAGTTATAATCCAATTCCCTGTTTATTTTATAGGTGTCATTGATGGCTATGCAGATGAAAGAACGTTTTTTGAAAGGCAAATTCAGGAAAAATCTGATATAATAGATCGTCTTGAGCAGGAGTTGTTATGTGAAGGTAATAGATTACAAGAATTGGAAGCAGAGAGACAGCAAATCCAAGAAGAAAGAGAATTACTGTCCAGACAGAAGGAGGCTATGAAAGCAGAGGCAGGCCCTGTTGAACAACGTATGTACTTTTCAGACTTTATATGAAACATTGTTCTAATTTTATTTATATTCTTTAAAAGTTCAAACTGGCTTTTTTTTTTCCTTTTTCAGTGCCATTTTCATGTGTTTTATATAAGGACTTCAAAAATTGTAAGAAAATTAACTTCTAGGTAAATGTCTTATTAGCTAACGATGTGGATCAGGATTCCCTCCCCTCAGCCTCCCCCACTCTGCCCCTCCCCACCTTTAGCACATGTTAACAGGAAAAGGTCATTCTTCATTTATCCCCAAGCTTCTGCCTTAAGAGAAAGCTGCAAATAATGAGGCAGGATATTTTGAAAATTATGTAAACTTTGGTTCTTTTAATAGCAGAGAGGCAGCAAAAATTATACTTAGATTAAATAACTAAGAGCGCTGACCTGACATGAGTAGTGAGCAGGTGAAGGTGGACTTCGACCTGCAAGTAGAAGAGATTGAAAAGGCTGCTAGAAGTCGTTAAGTATTTAAATTTATAAATTTCCCTTAATTTTTCTTTAAATGAGAAATTAGGTAACATCTTGAAGTTTGTTTAGAGGTAAAAAAATAAATATCAGTCTTTGCAATGATGGAACTTTCATTTTTTGTGTGTCCTCAGTTTTATACTACATAATACAGTTGAAATTATAGATGTGTAGCTTCACTAATTTCACTTTATCAGTTTAGAAATATAGTATTTTTGAAATATTGTAAAGTTCTTTCTGGTTACATTAGTTCAGTGTAGGTTTAGGGTTGGCATTTTTAATGTGGAGAGTATACATGTGATAAATGTAAATATTCACGAAGTATTAGAACTTCTCAAAATGTTACCAGTGATAATAATCAACTTCACCTTTTGCTTCTAATTCTTTTTTTGTGTATTATCCTATTTTAGGAAGTAGAAGGCATATAAATTATCATGTTTTTGTTTTCTTTTTTGTTTTCTTTTTACTTTTCCTGTTCTCTTAGGACTAGTAGATGCTGCAGTCGATGCAGCACCTGGAGCAGGTGTGTTTATGCAATTGCATGGCCAATCTTTGCGTGGTAGACTCACATCTCAAAAAGTTGGGTGACCCTTAAATTTTCAGCCAACTAACATGTCTTTCATTTTGCAATTCTGATGTGTGTTTCCTACTTACAGTTTTTCTCTTTAACAAAAACTTCTTCCAATAAAAATGCACATTTTTACTTGAAATTAATATCTTAGATTCATAGTGACCATCATCTTATATCTATTTTTGCACAGAGCTTAAGACTATTTCAATTTTTTAAAAAATATGTTGTTTTATTAAAACTTTTTTTCATTAACAAATAGATTAAACTCTTGCAACCTATGACTTTCCAAATGCTCTTTCTAAATCAGGAAGTATATAAGATGATGGTATCAAATGGATCAGTGAAATCTGGTAAAAGGCTTTCTGGGTGATTTTATTTTAACCTCTAATATCTGTATTGTTTTAAAAGGAAAGCTGTTTTCTGTAGAAAACAGTTCTATATCCTATAGAACTATACTGGTTCTGAGTGCAGTTAGTACGAAGACTCTTGGAACATGTTCCTTTCATCTTCACTAGAAAATTGTTTTACTTTTGCTATGTGTACTTATTATTAATAGCTAACACTTTTATAGTGGTTACCACATCCTAAGAAATATTTTTTACATATATTAACTCCTTTGATCATACAGTAACTGTAAGAGATCAGTACTATTATCACATATAAGGAAACTGAAGGATAGCATGTTAAGTGTCACATTGGAGATAAATGGCAGAGCTACTAGGATTTGAACCCATAGTCTCTGCTCATAAGCACTATACCACATTGTCTCATACTTGTCAGTTTTCCTTTGAACATGCATGTAAGCATGCAAGAGCAACTCAGGAATATGGATCTAGTAAGGAATAAGACTAACCGGAAACTCTGACTGCAATTGTGTTTCTGTTTCCATGATTCTTAATGGCCTTGGTTAAAGATTTACAGTATTTGATCTTTTATGTGTATTGTGTATGCACATAAAAGTGACTTTATGGGTTTGGAATGAATTGATTTTTGCTCTAGGTAAAGAAAATGGTAAGTTTTTCTTATTCTTGAACTTAAATTAGATTTTGTCCTTTTCTTCATAGTAAAAATGGATTTATTTGTCATTTGCTATGCTGTTTTCACAAAAATATTCTTCTTAGTGACAGGACATAATTCTATTCTGTTAATTCTTTATAATTTTATTGTTACTAGCTTGTTTACTTATATATAAATATGTTAAAATATATGATATTTTCATAAGTGAATATTTACCTTATGTGTGTTTGAATTAAAACCCAGATCTTTTATCTCATGAAGAAAAAAATTGAACACTTACAGGTGATTTCACTATCATAATGTCATTAATCGTGATTTAACTTAGTATACTTTTACGTTTGTAAACAGAATTACTACAGGAAACAGAAAAGCTAATGAAGGAAAAACTAGAAGTACAGTGTCAAGCTGAAAAAGTACGTGATGACCTTCAAAAACAAGTGAAAGCACTAGAAATAGATGTCGAGGAACAAGTCAGTAGGTTTATAGAGCTGGAACAAGAAAAAAATGCTGAGTTAATGGACTTAAGACAGCAAAACCAAGCACTGGAAAAACAGTTAGAAAAAATGAGAAAATTTTTAGATGTAAGTATTCCTAATTTACGGATGGATTATCTCAGTGGAATGCTACTTGCTATTTATTACTGTAGGTTTGTGAATTTTAAATTATGAAGAGACTCGTGACTGCTAATGTTTTCACTTATATGTATATTTTACCAATCAATTGACAAGTGCTATTCCAGTAAAAAATTCCGATTATTTTTGTTGTACAACTTTTAGAATTCAAAGCCATACAGCCAAATTATGAATAAACCCTTCCAATTAGCCTTTCCAAATTCAGAGTTTAAGAAGCTCATTGTACTCTTTATTTTAACCAGTATTCAAAACAAGCACTGCTCCTCAGAGCTAATTGGCCAGTGCTGCTTTACCCTGAGAAGATGCATACACGGGGTGTCAGTGGACCCTTGGAAACAGGATGGAAATAGTTGTTATGCTGTCATTACTCCCTTCCAAAAAAAGATTTAATCTCCAATTTCACACAGATTTGCTTTTTAGAGTTTTATTTAAGCCTGATGTTCTCTTCACAGATCAGAAAATGAGATCCTTACATTTTACAATTTTAGATATAAAACTTAGATTAGGATGAAAGAAATTAGTTTATCAAACAGCTTGTTTTACATATTTGATTAAGTTAACAGGGGAATTTCTCCTTTGTTCCAAAAATTTAAGTACATTTTAAGGAGAATACTTTTTTCATTCTGTATTGCACATTATTTGCATGAAGAGGAACTGTTGTGCTTCAGAGTATACTTAAATGCTTCCATTTTTGTTTAAGAGCCAAAAATAGACTATGTACCATGAAAGAATGTTATCTTTCTAAACCTTAATGGTTTGGACTATTCTGTCAGAGATCCTTTGCCTTCAAACAAAACTACACCTATAATTAAAGGGAAGTATGGGAAAAATAGCTTCAGTAAATATTGTTTCTTCAGTTACTATTATTATTTTTAAATTTTAGGAGCAAGCCATTGATCGAGAACATGAGAGAGATGTATTCCAACAGGAAATACAGAAACTAGAACAGCAGCTTAAGGTTGTACCTCGGTTCCAGCCTATCAGTGAACACCAAACTAAAGAGGTAAGAACTTTGTTGAGATTGCTTATAGTAATTTGTATCTTGGATATAAAATAAGATACATATAATGAAAAAATTAAAAATGAATTCTTTCTATTATATATAAATCTTAAAATCAGAAAATTAAATATTACTTCAACATGAGAAGGTCCTTGAAACCCTAAAAATAAATATTTGTAGTGAAATTTGGACTACACTCTATTGAATCATTCCCATCTGTATAACATGTTCTAGTACTACCCAATTAAATAGACTTTTCTATTTCTGTTCCCAACAAAACTGGTTGAAAGAGTTGCCTATATTAACTGTCTTTACTTCCCCATCTCCCATTCTCTTCTCAGCCCACTCCCGTGAAATTTCCAGGCTGTTTATGTTAATGGAGTTCATACCTCCACTTCATTGAAACTGGTCTTGTAGAGGTTACCCACAATCTCATGACTGTATCTAAGAATCATCTCTCTGTCGTCATCTCACTTGACTTTTCAGAGGTGTTACAGCCACCTTCTTGAAAAACACTTCCTTCTCTTGGCTTCTGTGTCATCCTGAGTCACTGTCTCCTCTCTCTAGTCTTTGTTTTTCTATCCAAAGTCTAAATAATGGAGTGCTCCAAGAATTAGTCTTGGGCCCCCCTTTTCTTCTGTATCAATATTCTCTTCCTAGGTGATTACCCATAAATGATTCTACATTTGTATTCCAGCTCTGACATCATTGTTGAGCTCCAGACTTGAATATTCAACTGCCTATTCTACGTATAAGGAGCCCTGGTGGCACAGTGGTTAAGCATTTGGCTGCCAACCAAAAGGTCGGCAGTTCAAATCCACCAGGTGCTCCTTAGGAACCCCATGGGGCAGTTCTACTCTGTCCTATAGGGTTGCTATTAGTCGGACTCAACTCGACGGCAGTAGGTTTTTTTTGGTTTAGTGGCAGAATGGTTAAGTGCTCAGCTGCTAACCAGAAGGTTGGTGATTCCAACCCACCAGCCACTTCGTGGAAAAAAGATGTAGCAGTCTGCTTCCATAAAGAGTATAGCCTTGGAAACCCTATGAGACAGTTCTACCCTGTCCTATAGGGTCACCGTGAGTCAAAATCGACTCGATGGCAATGGGTTTGGTTTGGTTTGGTTTGGACTCTACGTATCTACTTAGAGTTCTCAAAATTAACATGTCCAAAGGAGAGATCTTGATTCCTGACTGCTCTCCAGCAAAGAAAGACAAGAGTAAAACATGTTTCTTTTTCAGCCAAGTATGCCTTTCTTGTTGCTAAAACCTGGAATTCATCCTTGATTCCACTCTTTTCCTCATCCTGCACTTCTAACCCATTGGTGAGTCTGGTTGCGCTGTGTCTTGCTTTCCGTCTTCAATCATCTCTTTAAATCCTAGCCATCATCATTGCTTGCATGGACCATTGTGGTAACCTCCTAACCATTTCTCCCTGCTTCTACTTTTTTCACTTCATCTGTCCGTTTTCCTTATAAAATATAGAAACATAGCCAGAACTCCATATTTATCAAGTTAATTCTATATGAATGAGGGAAGATTCCATTTATGTAGGTAACTTGTCATGGTGATAAAGAGATTATGCTTGGAGTAAGACAATGCCGGTTTGAATCATGGCTTTGCCATTTATTAGATGAGTGACAGTGGCTAAGTCAGCCTCTCTAAATCTGTTTACTCATTTCTGAAATAAAGATGGTAATAGCACCTACCTGATAGGCATATTGACCTGGTACATAGTGAACACTTAATAAATGGTAACTATTTTATTTCTGAAACGAAAATAAAAATTTTTGTGTACATAATTTCTGTGTAGTTTACTGTATTTCATTTCTCTTAAAATAATTCTAAAGAAGTATAAAATGCCTCTGTGACTCACTGCAGTAAAATATTGTGTTACCTACATCCTTTTTGAATAGAAATAATCCGACATAGAATACTCTTATCTACTAGAGCAATAGAGAAGTTCTCAACACACAGAGTTTGTAATTGTTGGCCTTATTCCTAACAAACATGTTTTCAGTTTTTCAAAACGAGTGTGAAACTCAACAGAATATTTAAACTCTAGACGTTAGGACAGGTATCTCCTATTATATAGTATTCTTACATTTGAAAGATTTGACCTGCCTCATTCGTTAAACAGAAGCTAACAAGGATGTGTACGTTTGGTTTTTCTCCAGGAACATTGTGATCCGTTTGTTCTCTGCTTACATTGCCAGATCTGATTCGCCAGCTTCTGGTTTCTCTAGGTCAAAAACATCTATTATAGTATATTGTGCTATTTTGCTGTGCCTGCTTTGTTGCCTTTTCTTTTGAGCTTACTCCAAATCTTAGTCCACCCATTATGGTTAAAGTTTCTCCTCAGTGGTTTTATTGCTGTCATCTTTGAACCTATAAGTTGTGGAGGAATAATTGTCATTTTAAATAATTTTCGCAAAGTATCTCACTGAAATAAGAATTCCTTACAATCACATTTCTTTTTTTGCTAAGGGTTTTCTCCTAATTTAATCATAACTAATTTCATAAGCCATTTTATTAATCCTTTCTGCATTCTGTCATCACAGAGCCACTGATTTCAAGGGACTAGCATATCAGAATCACTTAGGGAAAGTCTTTCAAGCTGTACCTAGTCCCTCAACCACTCCTGGATTCTTATCTCTGTTTTAGGCTGAAGGAATATATAGGTTGACTGTATCAAATATCTACTCCCACTCTTGCAGCATTCAAAGCCATTATACTGTTGTATGTATTGGCTATAATCATTTGTGGAATAAAAAGTAAAATCAGTGAAAGATTTTCTAGGTAATTTATCTCACATAAGAGGGTAAGTCAGCACTCTGCAAATTTGTCATTTCTGTTAGGTCTTAGTGTAATTACACCATTAAAGCTTGTAATTAAACATTATTCAGAAATACAATTTATTTTCTCCTAGCTGGAGAAAGCCTTAGGCTTAAGAGAAAGAATTTCTTTAAAAAGGTTAAATGAAAACAATTTCTTTTTTTTTTACTAGTGCTACTTAGTTTTATTAATCCAGAAAATTTAACATTCAGTTGGGACAAATAAGTTGCTGTATGCCTACCAAAAATATAATTAACATAGCATTTAAAAATTTCTTTTAGTAATATTTTATTGTGTTTTAGGTGGAAGTTTACACAGCAAATTAGGTTCCCCTTAACAACTTCTATACAAATTATTCCATGCCATTGGTTACAATTTTTACAATGTGTCAGTAGTCTCGTTATTTCCATTCTGTTTGTTCTGTTTCCATTGATCTAGCTTCCCTTCCCCTCCTTGCATTCTCACCTTTGTTTCTGGGTAAATGTTGACTATTTGGTCTTACATATTTTATTGTGTAAGGAAGCACATTACTCACGGGTGATACTGTTTTTTTTATTTTTTAGTGTTGTCACATTGTATTTTATTTTTTAATACACTTTATTTTTTAGAGCTGTTTTAAGTGTTCAGAAAAATTGTGCAGAGAGTTCCCGTATGCCCCTTGCCCAAAGTTTCTCTATTATTCATATCTTGCACTAATGTGGTACATCTGTTACATTGATGAACTGATATTGATATATTGTTATTAACCAATCATGTCACTTCTTTCAGAGTCTGTTGGTGACTGGTCTCTGTGCATCTGTTATTCAGTGATATTGTTCGTTTTATAAGCCAATCTGTTATTTGACTGAAAGGTGACGTGCAGAAATGACTTCAGTTCCACATTAAAAGGTTATCGTAGGGAGATAGTCTCAGGTGTTCCTCTAGTCTCTATCTGTCCAGTAGGCCTGGCATTTTTAAAGAATTTGCATTTCTTTCTACATTTTTCTTCCAGTATATCTGGGATTTTCTATTGTGTCCCTGGTCAGAATGGTCAGTAGTGGTAGCCAGGCACCATCTAGTTCTTCTGGTCTCAGGTTAGAAGAGGTTATGGTTTATGTGGGCTATTAGTCCCATGGATTGACTTCTTCTTTGAGCTTTTGATTTCCTTCATTCTCTTTTGCTTCGTACCAATAGTTGTATCTTAGATGGCTACTCACAAGCTTTTAAGACCCCAGATGCTACTCACCTAACTAGGATGTAGAACATTATCTTTTGTGAACTATGTTATGCCAATTGACTATGCTGAGACTATGGTCCCAAGTCTGTTAACCCAGTAAGTGCATCCTGAAATTTGTTTAGATATGTCTAGGAAGGCTCCGTAACTGTGCCGCCTATGTGGTTTGTTATGTATGTGGATATATATATGCAGCACATACAAACGTGTATGTGCATATGCCTCCAGATACACCTATACATGCAAGTGCATTTACTCGAATATGCCTTTCTATACACATGTATGTATCCATATCTACCTATGTAGCCATACACGTTTTTTGGTTGTTTTTACTGTTGTTGAAAAACTGTATGTTATAGCATTTACCGAAATTGACCCTTTTTCTCATGTACTTCTTGGTGTCTTTATTTACCTCGGTCAGGTTGTGCTGACTTCACTAATATTTGGTCTTGCCTTTCCCATCACTGGAAGTAAAAAGTGTTTACTATCTAGAAAGTAGTTCCCCCTCCTCGCTCCTATCCCTAGTAACCATGAAAGAACTTTGCTTTCTGTGTGTCTATTCTTGACTTTTTATAATAGTGGGACCATACAATATTTGTCTTTTAGTGATTGACTTATTTCACTCAGCATAATGCCCTCCAAATTTCATCCATGTTATGTTTCGAGGGACTCCTCATTCTTTATGGTTGAGTAATATTCCATTGTATGTCTGTACCACAATTTATTTATCTATTCACTTGTTGATGGGCTTAGGTTGTTTCCATGTTTTTGCTATTGTGACTAATGCTGCAGTGACCATAGGTGTGCATGTGTCTATTCGTGTCACTGCTTTTATATCTCTAGGATATATACCTAGGAGTAGGATTGCTGGATTATAAGATATTTCTATTTCTGTCTTTTTGGGGAAGTGCCATACTGTTTTCCATAGTGGTTGTACCATTTTACAATCCCACCAGCAGTGTATAAGTTCCAATCCCCCTACACCCTCACCAGCGTTTGTTGTTTTCTGTTTTTTTGATCAGTGCCAATTTTGCAGGGGTGAGATGGTATCTCATGGTAGTTTTGGTTTGCATATCTCTAATGGCTAATGATCAAGAGCATCTTTTCATGTATTTGTTGGCTGCCTGACTGTCCTCTTTGATGATGTGTCTGTTCATATCCTTTGCCCACTTTTTGATTGGATTGTTTGTCTATTTGTTGTTGAGTTGTTGAAGTTTTCTATATATTTTAGAGATTAGACCCTTATCAGACATGTCTTTGCCAAAGATTTTTTCCCAGTATTTGGGTTCTCTTTTTACTCTCTTGGTGTAAAGTCTTTTGAAGAGCATAAGTATTTAATTTTTAGGAGGTCCAAGTTATCTAATGTATCTTCTGTTTGTGAATTTTTAGTTTTGTTTGATAGGCTACTTATGCTGAAGATTAGGTCCCCTAGTTTTGACCCTGTGTTGTCTTCCAGGAACTTTATAGTTTTAGCTTTAACATTTAGGTCTTTGAACCATTTTGAGTTAGTTTTTGTACATAATGTGAGGTATGGCTCCTGATTCATTTTTCTGCATATGGATATCCACTTTTGCCTCCACCGTTTGTTAAAGAAGACTGTTTCTTCCCCATTAAATGGACTTTGACCTTTTGTTGAAGATCCAAAAAAAAAAAAAAACGAAACCCGTTACCATCGAGTTGATTCCAACTCATAGCGACCCTATAGGACAGACTAGAACTGCCCCATAGAGTTTCCAAG